ACCATCATTTATTTTTTTAACTGGAAAAGGAGATTTGTGTGTGTGTGTGTGTGAGAGAGAGAGATATTAATGCCTCTTGTGTGTTTGTGTGTGTTTAAAAACACAAAGCCTTTAATGGAGCCGTCCTGACAGTAGCTCCTCCAACCCGCCACTCAGCTTCGTCTCCTTTTGCTTATCAATAACAAGGACAGATAACCTTTCTACCCCCAAAGTGACAGCTTTCCTCCCCCCACACCCCCAAAATGGGGAGACAAGGACGGATTCATTACCGGCAACAGCGAAGAAGGACGAGCTGACCTCAGCTGCAGAAAAACCAGGCCAGAGAAATTTCTCCCGGGAGCTTTCTAAGGCAAGACGCAACCACCAAACTTTATTCTTTGGTTTTCCCGTCCTTCGGATTGCTTTCCTACACAAGGGCTCTCGAGGTCACCAGTCATGTCCTTCTCCATCTCTAGGTTGAGGCCTCCATTTTCCCTGCCAGAAGATGCTCGTTTCGGACCAGCTACCCTGTTTCCCCCAAAATAAGACATTCCCTGATAATAAGCCCAATCGGGCTTTTGAGCACATGGCAATAAGGCCAAGCGTTTATTTCAGGGTTCAAAAAAATATAAGACAGGATCTTATTTTGGGGGAAACATGGTATCTATCATATTTATCTATCTATCTATGTACTGTCTCTCTACTATCTATCTATATCATCTATCTATCTATCCCTCCCTTCTATCCTTCTATCTGTCTGTCTGTCTGTCTGTGTCTGTCTATCATCTATCTATCTATCTATCTATCTATCTATCTATCTATCTATCTATCTATCTATCTATCTATCCCTCCCTTCTATCCTTCTATCTGTCTGTCTGTCTGTCTGTCTATCTATCTATCTACCCTGTTTTCCCCAAAATAAGACACCCCCTGATAATAAGCCCAATTGGTCTTTTGAACACATGGCAATAAGGCCAAGGGCTTATTTCAGGGTTCAAGAAAATATAAGACAGGGTCTTATTTTCGAGGAAACATGGTATCTATCATATTTATCTATCTATCTGTCTCTCTACTATCTATCTATATCATCTATCTATCTATCTATCTATCTATCTATCTATCTATCTATCTATCTATCCCTCCCTTCTATCCTTCTGTATGTCTGTCTGTCTGTCTGTCTATCTACCCTGTTCCCCCCAAAATAAGACATCCCCTGATAATAAGCCCAATCGGGCTTTTGAACGCATGGCAATAAGGCCAAGGGCTTATTTCAGGGTTCAAGAAAATATAAGACCGGGTCTTATTTTTGGCGAAACATGGTATTTAAAATTAAAATTAAACTTGGAGGGGTTTAAATACCAGATCAAAAGAGAAGGAACGGATTAGCTCCGAAATGGGCTGGAAATTTCTCATCTTTTTATTATTATTATTTTCCCTTCCCCCTAACCTTTTTGGTTCAGTTTGATGGGAAGGGGGGGAAAAAAGAGAGAGAGAGAGAGACACTTTGTTTGAAGGAGAGAGAAAAATCCGCTGCTTATGTTAACGTCCCAGCAAAAATGCAGAGCTGTGTTTTTTTTTTTTTCCCTGTCCGTGGATCGAAAGACGCAAAGTGAAGGAGAAGGAGGGGAGAATTTGTCTCTGGACAAAGGAGGCCGGAGTGAGTGCGGAGATCCTGCATGATCTTTGGTCCAAGAGACTTCCGAACTTCTGTGACATCCGGAATGACGGAGTTGGAAGGGACCTTGGAGGTCTTCTAGTCCACCCCCTGGCTTGAGCATAAGACCGTAAACCATTTCAGAATAAATGGCTGTCCGATCTCTTCTTAAAAGCCTCCAGTGATGGAGCACTCACAACTTCTGGAGGCAAGTTGTTCCACTGGTTAATTGTTCTCACTGTCAGGAAATTTCTCCTTAGTTCTAAGTTGCTTCTCTCCTTGATTAGTTTCCATCCGTTGCTTCTTCTCCTGCCTTCAGGTGCTTTGGAGAATAGCTTGACTCCCTCTTCTTTGTGGCAACCCCTGAGATATTGGAAGGCTGCTATCATGTCTCCCCTAGTCCTTCTTTTCATCAAACTAGACACACCCAGTTCCTGCAACCGTTCTTCGTATGTTTCAGCCTCCAGTCCCTTAACCGTCTTGGTTGCTCTTCTCTGCATTCTTTCTAGAGTCTCCACATCTTTTTTTACAATCAAGCTGCTTCTTCTCCCTCGGCCCCCCCCCTCCAAATTTGATTTCAACCCAACATTTATAAACAATGTTTATTGAGAGAGTCCAATAATCTCGCTGTTTTGGTGCCAGATCTTCAGAGCCACCGCCTCCCTGGCCAGAAGGAAGTGAGAATGTGGTGACTCAACCCACCCCTGGCCCAAAGGATGCCGCCCCACCGACGGAACTCACATTTAAATTATGTGGACTGTACAGTGAATTTCCTCCCAAACCGTCACTGTATCCTCCCGTCTGATTGATAACATGACGCAGGGTATCCACCTGCAGCAGAAAACACAAGGAAGGAGAATGTGTTGGCTTGCCCGCAAATGAACTTCTTAACAATGCAGAGCTATTTTTGAGATGGAGAACGGAAAGGGGAAGAGTTGTGTCTTTCTCGCAAACTGTTCCTGGAGAAAGAACGACGGATGCCCACAGGACTAGAATCTTCACTTGCCCCTTTTTGGTTTTTTACTTAACAAACCACTCCAGCATTGGCTAGCCAAGTTGTTGATAAGACTGAGTTTTGCGCAGCGTGTCGTTTTGACACATCCACAGCCCGGGTGAGTGTAAGTCGAAAAGGACAGGGAGGAGGAGGAGGAGGAGATAGGAGCAAATAGTAGAGAAGAAGAACGTGGTTGATGTGTTTGAGCTTTGGATGACCATGGTTGAAGTGTGTGAGTCTTGGGTGGCCATGGTTGATGTGTTTGAGCTTTGGGTGGCCATGGTTGATGTGTTTGAGCTTTGGGTGGCCATGGTTGATGTGTTTGAGCTTTGGATGACCGTAGTTGATGTGTTTGAGCATTGGATGACCATGGTTGATGTGTGTGAGTCTTGGGTGGCCATGGTTGATGTGTTTGAGCTTTGGGTGGCTATGGTTGATGTGTTTGAGCTTTGGGTGGCCATGGTTGATATGTTTGAGCTTTGGGTGGCCATGGTTGATGTGTTTGAGAGTTGGGTGACCGTGGTTGATGTGTTTGAGCATTGGGTGACCATGGTTGATGTGGTTGAGCCTTGGATGACTGTGATTGATGTGTTTTAGCCTTGGATGACCGTGGTTGATGTGTTTGAGCATTGGATGACCATGGTTGAAGTGTGTGAGTCTTGGGTGGCCATGGTTTGATGTGTTTGAGAGTTGGGTGACCGTGGTTGATGTGTTTGAGCATTGGGTGACCATGGTTGATGTGGTTGAGCCTTGGATGACTGTGATTGATGTGTTTTAGCCTTGGATGACTGTGGTTGATGTGTTTGAGCATTGGATGACCATGGTTGAAGTGTGTGAGTCTTGGGTGGCCATGGTTGATGTGTTTGAGCTTTGGGTGGCCATGGTTGATGTGTTTGAGCTTTGGGTGGCCATGGTGATGTGTTTGAGCTTTGGATGACCGTAGTTGATGCGTTTGAGAGTTGGGTGACGTGGTTGCTGTGTTTGAGCATTGGGTGACCATGGTTGATGTGGTTGAGCCTTGGATGACTGTGATTGATGTGTTTTAGCCTTGGATGACCGTGGTTGATGTGTTTGAGCTTTGGATGACCATGGTTGAAGTGTGTGAGTCTTGGGTGGCCATGGTTGATGTGTTTGAGCTTTGGGTGGCCATGGTTGATGTGTTTGAGCTTTGGGTGGCCATGGTTGATGTGTTTGAGCTTTGGATGACCGTAGTGATGTGTTTGAGAGTTGGGTGACCGTGGTTGCTGTGTTTGAGCATTGGGTGACCATGGTTGATGTGGTTGAGCCTTGGATGACTGTGATTGATGTGTTTGAGCATTGGATGATCGTGGTTGATGTGTTTGAGCATTGGATGACCATCGTTGATGTGTGTGAGTCTTGGGTGGCCATGGTTGATGTGTCTGAGCTTTGGGTGGCCATGGTTGATGTGGTTGAGCCTTGGATGACTGTGATTTATGTGTTTTAGCCTTGGATGACCGTGGTTGATGTGTTTGAGCATTGGATGACCATGGTTGATGTGTGTGAGTCTTGGGTGGCCATGGTGATGATGTGTTTGAGCTTTGGGTGGCTATGGTTGATGTGTTTGAGCTTTGGGTGGCCATGGTTGATATGTTTGAGCTTTGGGTGGCCATGGTTGATGTGTTTGAGCTTTGGATGACCATGGTTGATGTGTTTGAGAGTTGGGTGACTGTGGTTGATGTGTTTGAGCATTGGGTGACCATGGTTGATGTGGTTGAGCTTGGATGAGTGTGATTGATGTATTTTAGCCTTGGATGACCGTGGTTGATGTGTTTGAGCATTGGATGACCATGGTTGATGTGTTTGAGCATTGGGTGACCATGGTTGATGTGTCTGACCCTTGGATGACTGTGATTGATGTGTTTTAGCCTTGGATGACCGTGGTTGATGTGTTTGAGCATTGGATGACCATGGTTGATGTGTTTGAGCATTGGATGACATGTTGATGTGTTTGAGCTTTGGGTGGCATGGTTGATGTGTTTGAGCTTTGGGTGACCATGGTCGATGTGTTTGAGCCTTGGGTGACTGTGTTTGATGTGTTTGAGAGTTGGGTGACCGTGGTTGATGAGCCTTATATGACCATGGTTGATGTGTGTGAGTCTTGGGTGGCCATGGTTGATGTGTTTCAGCTTTGGGTGCATGGTTGATGTGTTTGAGCATTGGGTGGCCATGGTTGATGTGTTTGAGCATTGGGTGACCATGGTTGATGTGTTTGAGCTTTGGGTGACCGTGGTTGATGTGTTTGAGCTTTGGGTGACCGTGGTTGATGTGTTTGAGAGTTGGGTGACGTGATTGATGTGGTGAGACTTGGATGACCATGGTTGATGTGTTTTGAGCTTTGGGTGACCGTGGTTGATGTGTTTGAGCTTTGGGTGACCGTGGTTGATGTGGTGAGAGTTGGGTGACCATGGTTGATGTGGTTGAGCCTTGGATGAGTGTGATTGATGTATTTAGCCTTGGATGACCGTGGTTGATGTGTTTGAGCATTGGATGACCATGGTTGATGTGTTTGAGCTTTGGGTGACCATGGTTGATGTGTCTGACCCTTGGATGACTGTGATTGATGTGTTTTAGCCTTGGATGACCGTGATTGATGTGGTTGAGACTTGGATGACCATGGTTGATGTGGTTGAGCTTTGGGTGACCGTGGTTGATGTGGTTGAGCTTTGGGTGACCGTGGTGATGTGGTGAGCTTTGGGTGACCATGGTTGATGTGTTTGAGCTTTGGGTGACCATGGTTGATGTGTTGACCCTTGGATGACTGTGATTGATGTGTTTTAGCCTTGGATGACCGTGATTGATGTGGTTGAGACTTGGATGACCATGGTTGATGTGTTGAGCTTTGGGGTGACCGTGGTTGATGTGGTTGAGCTTTGGGTGACCATGGTTGATGTGGTTGGCCTTGGATGACTGTGATTGATGTGGTTGAGACTTGGATGACCGTGGTTGATGTGTTTGAGCATTGGATGACCATGGTTGATGTGTGTGAGTCTTGGGTGGCCATGGTTGATGTGTTTGAGAGTTGGGTGACCGTGGTTGATGTGGTTGAGCTTGGATGACTGTTATTGATGTAGTTGAGCCTTGGATGACCATGATTGATGTGTTTGAGCATTGGATGACCATGGTTGATGTGTTTGAGAGTTGGGTGACCTGGGTGATGTGTTTGAGCATTGGGTGGCCATGGTTGATGTGTTTGAGCATTGGGTGACCATGGTTGATGTGTTTGAGCATTGGGTGACCATAGTTGATGTGTTTGATGAGTGATGTGTCAGTGAATCTTGAATGACCTTGGTGAAGTCTGTGTGCTTCTTTGAAGACCATGCATGGTTGTTGTGGGAACTTTGGAAGATCATGGATGATACATGTGTGAATCTTTTTATGCCATGGATGACGCATCTGTGAGTCTTGGAAGACCATGGATGGCGTGTGTGTATATCTCCTCTATCCACGGTGTCTTCCATTCTTCCCCTTTCTCCCTTCTCCTTCCCATTTCCTCTTAATTTTGCTTCATCCATCCATCCGTTAATCCATCCATTTTCCCCACCTCCCCGGGCTCTCCCATCTACGAAATCCCAAGGGTGGGTCGCTGCTTCCTTCGCCCCCCACCGCCCCCCCAGATCCCTTTCCCTGGCTGTCCAGGCATTGTGGGGAGGGCGTGGGGTTCCGGCCCCCCTTCCCAGCCCCTCTCTCTGGGCTTTTGGATTCTCCCAGACACAATTTGGTAGTAATTACACGTTCCTGCTTCTAATTGCCACATTGTGAATGATAAACAAAAAAAACTCCAATTTTATTTAATTAAAGACCTGGGAGAATCCACTGGGGGAAATTTTGTACGGTGAAGACGGGGAGCTGGGAGAGAATGGCACAGCCCTCCGCGGAGGAGCAGGAGGCCGGCCCAACCGGGGTGCTGACGCTAACCGGGACTCCTGCCCCTCCGTGGGTCTGGGCCGTCCCAGTCGGTGGGGTAGTCCTCGATTAACGTCCATTCGTTTACGTCCGTTCAGCCTCATTCTATGGCAACCAAGCCTCTCGTAGACGTTCCTTTAGCAACCGTTCAAAGTTACGGTGGGTTTGGGGGGAAAAAGTGATTTATGACCAGTCCTCGTATATACGACCGTCGTAAGTGTGAACATTTAGACGCTTGGTGTGTGTTCAAGAACGGTTGCAGCGTTCCAGGGTCACGTGATCCCCAAAGGCTGACCTTCCCCGCCGGCTCCCAACATGCAGGGTCAGTCAGGGAAGCCAGATTCGTTTAACGACTATGTGATTCACTTAACAATGACAGCGCTTTGTTTTTTAAAAAAGGTTGTAATATGGGGCAAAACGTACTGAACAAAATCCCCTTGCTTAGCAACGGAAATCTGAGGCTCCATTGTGGTCGTTAAGGTGAGGACTCCCTGTACTGCACGATTTGTTTAACAACGGTGTCAATGAAGACCATAAAACCAAGTGTGACTTGCTTAACAACGGTAATTTGGTCCTAGATTGAGGACTGCCTGTGCCATTTTCTCCAGGCTGGGATGTCGCTCGATGAGCCCCAGGAGACCACAGGCCGTCCTCGACTTACAACCGTTCGTTTAGTGACTGTTTGAAGCTATAGTGGCCCTGAAACAAGGGACTTGGGGCCGTTTTTCACACTTACGACCGTTGCGGCATCCCCGCAGTTGCATGATCAAAACTCAGACGCTTGGCAACTGACTCATATTTACGATGGTTGCAGGGGTCCCATGATCCCCTTTGTACGACCTTCCAACCAGGGGAAGCCAGATTCATTTAACGACCGTGTGACTCACTTAACAACTGCAGGGATTCACTTAACTACCATGGCAAGAAAGGTCATAACAGAAGGCACAAT